CTTCATCATTGTTGCCATCATCATAATTTATCAAATTGAAGTATTGATGTGATAAATTATATTTAATATCGGCCGAACATTAAGATCGCCTCGTAATGTACGTATCATTGCACATCCTTTATTTAACACTTTTGGCGAGAAAGGGTGCGAATTAATTGTCTGTTTAGGGCAGCTACAGCTTATTGAATAATCTGTTGATAAACTGATTAAAAATAATATGTCAATAAATTTGGTGCGGTGACTACTACAAATTTTTTTTTTTTTGAAAAAGTCAGACCGCAGCTAGAAAGTTGCCAACGCACCTAAACAGGTGCGGTGTGAAACGCATAAGCTGTCAAAACGCAGCTTACCCAAATAGACCAAGTGTTTTCAAAACACCACCGCACCAAATAATCTGCCCGAAACGGACCCTAAGAGAAAATATTAGGTATGATCGTCGCTTGTGTGGACAATCAATAAGAGAGTAGTACATTGAGAGTAGCTTAGGCATCGTTTGAGAATCCAGTGGATTCCCATTCAGTTGCCACCTAAAAAATCTATGTTAGGCAACAAAATGTTTGTGGAACGTCTCTAAACATTATTAGAAGAACATTCACCATTTCAGAATGGAGATGATGATGCCACTTCCGACACACACGACTTTTGAAGGACTTTCGTCGAATGACTAAGCTTCTTCAAACGAAGCTTTCGAGTGTACACCATTAACTTTTTTGTGTGTCAACACATGTGGACACCGTACCTAATATATTTCTGCCTAGAGTGTACTGTATTTCATTGGGCGTTCGCATATGCGGACACCACACCTAATATTTCTTGAAAATTAGAGCCACGAAGGCATATCTATTAATTTTCAAAACTCAAACAACAGCTTTTTCATAACCACCTCATGCGTTCGCATATGCGGACACCACACCTAATATTTCTCGAAAATTAGAGCCGCGAAGGCATATCTATTAATTTTCGAAACTCAAACAACAACTTTTTCGTAGCCACACCATTTTAATAGTTCAGATTAAAAGAAAACAGCTTCCTACTATAAAAATTTTTAAAAATTAGCAATAAACAAACTCGCCAAACAAAGTTTGACGGCAATTTGAAATATAAATCAGACAGATAGTTGTCCCAAACAAACAAATCTCTGAATCACATGCTAAAAAAATCTAGCATTTTTTATTCCTCTTATATAATAGAGGCTAAAAAGAATTATTCAAATAAATGACATCAATATATGGCATCTTCATAATTATCATAATTATAATAACATTAAGGATAATTTACATACATATCACCCAATTATTATGTAATTACATAATTTACATCTCAATTTTACTCTTTATGTTTATACCACCTAAATTTTCTTTGTCGCATAAGAAGTATCACTAATATATGTTTAAGAAAGTGAAATATACATTTTCGCATATAAATAAGGTGGTTTATTTGTAAAAATTAAATTATAGTTGTTATATATATAAATACATAGAAATTGGGTGTTATTTATGTAAATTTTCCTAATAATAATAATAATAATAATAATAATATAAAAATAAAAATTTTCATCTATTAATTCACGCAGTCAACATTATCTTATCCCGCATGACTAAATTTTAGGAATAACATTTTTTTTTTTAATTTAAATAATTTAAATAGTTTAATTGATTTTTTTTAAATAAATTAAATTGCCACGTGGCAGGAGATTTATTTGCCCTGTGGATCCACCTTGGAAGCTAATGTGGCGATTCCATTTTTAGACATGAAAATACAATTGAATTGTATGTTGTGTATGTAAATTTTGAGGTGCATATTGACATGTTTGTGTTTTGTAGATGAAATACAAAAGAAATGGGGACGAGAAAACCATTGTGAGGATCCCTAAATTAACTTAGACTTGACTTAGCCAAATCCTAAATTTAACTCAGATCCGAGTCAACTCAAATTAAACTTAAACAAACCTTCGTCAACCTGGCCTAATCTGGGCTAACTCAAATCCAATTTAAAGCAAACTTGGGTTAACCGAGCCTAACCTGGGCTAAGCCACATCCAAATTAAAGCAAATTTGGATCAACCCGGCCTACTTAATTTACGGTATTTTGACATCTCTTAGCTAAGAATCTATTATTGATGGAGTGCTCGAGAGTCAACTAGTACAATTTATATTGTAATTATAACATATTTTTTACTTCAATGTTTTTTATATACAACATACAATTTTAGTTCATGATATACTATTTAGGTAATATGGGAGCCCTATAGCTAATATATAACAATTTAAGTGGCTGAGATATGCACTGCAGGGAAGGATATTTGGAAAACTCGTGTTCTATTGATCTATTAGCTACGAGTAGTGTAGCATTTGCCTAAGCACATTATGAGATAATTTGGTAAGGTTCAATGAATATAGATGGAGCCAATGGAGCCCAGTTTCAAGCTTGTAGATGGTAGAGGAAAGTCAAATTTGGATTGGGGTGACTTCCATTATTTTCTTTGTTGAGAAAATTAGGGCGAAGAAAAACAATAATCGACACAAATCCAGAAGAACACAGAGATTTAACGAGGTTCGGCAAAGATGCCTACGTCTTCGGGAGCAGAGCGGTGAGTTTCCTTTTGATATTTGATATTCTGAAAAGAGATTTACAGAAATCAGGATACCTCTTGGGGTTACTAACATGTTTATTTATAACCCCAAGAGTAAACATTAGTCACAATATGTAATTTACTAACATGTCTATTTATAACCCCAAGAGTAAACCTTAGTCACAATATGTAATTACAACATTACCCATGTACCATACATCGGGGTTTTGCCCCCGCACCCCAACCCACGTAACTTCCCAACCATACCATAACACTTACATATAATTGTGGGAGAATTGACAAGCTTTCATTATCCACCATGAGAACATTGATATTGATGTGGATCAACCATGCAAAGAATATATGCATTAGTATATGTCTTGGGCTTCTTTGTATTTGCTTCAAGCTCCAATTGAGACTCCAATGATTTATTATGAAAAAGCAATTGGGAAGAGGATATCTATATGTATATGCATGTATCCGATGTATGTTTATGTTTATTGCACTAAATAACATTTAATTTTTTTTCTTGTTAACGTCATTTTTTCTGTGATAATAGCTTATTAAAACAAATGACAGATGCATTTGGGGGTTTATTTAGAGAGCTTCGTTGAAACATAAATATTATAAATTATCGTTATTGCACAATGTTGTGAATTCTTGTCCCGTCAAACACCAAGAGAAAATTTCAAAGAAAACTGTAGGAAGAAAATGCGACAAGAACACAACAATTACGTGGTTCGGTCAATGGACCTACATCCACGGAGGGAATCAACTATCAATCCACTAAAGCAAAGAATAATTACAAGGCTTCCTTTTACATTGAGGAATGACCAATCCTCTTGATCTCTAACCCTCGAAACTATCTCGATACACGATTAAAGACTCCTCCCTCAATTCTTAAAGCCTCTCCCTTTCTTCTTCTTCTTGGACAAATTTCCTTCATCTTCTTTATTTTCTTGGTCTTCTTTCTATCTTTCTCCTTGTAGTGGTCTCTCCCATCTACAAGTCTATCTTCTTCCCTTGTATCTATGTCATTACCATAATTAAGAGTCATATTATAACACATAGAGAACAGTCCAGCACATCCATCTACATCAAACACAACTGATTCTCGTTATATTATCACCGTTCCACCACATACATCTAAAAATCTAAGTCCGTCAATATTTCACAGCACGTATGGATCACCTGATGTTGGTGGATCACATGATGACAATGAATCGCATGATGCTTACAAGTACATCTCGGATTCCACTGCAATAGTAGGTATTGTTGACACCCTCACTTTATCACAACTCACCCTCATTTTGGATGGGAGTTATAACTTTCCCACTCGAAACATCTTATACAGAGCATTTATGGATGTCTCCCTCTATTCCATCTCAACAAGCACAATTCATGACACAATTTGGACAGCCTCAGCATTTGTCGGAACATTATCAACGACATCATTTAAGAAACCAAATTGTTCGATCTTACAAACTGGGGAAACATGTTATCCCTCTAAGAAAACACCGCAGACATTAGAGTTGTTGAATTATCTGTAAAAGCATCTTATGATTTTCATATACCTTTCCAAATTAAAAGCTTGAATGTAATATGCTGCTTTGGTCTAGTGTATTATTTGTAAAAGTTTCTTCATACGAATTGAGTGGCTTTAACTGTACATCTCTGCTTTACTGCTATGACATTGATTAGTTTTGCCATATAATTTCTGACACTTAAATTTTGTTTCTTCAGCTCATGGTTTTCCCAATTTTACAGCAAGAAGAAACAAAAAATCAGAAGAATCTGTCAACAAACACTGACGAAATTCAACAAAACTAAATGAAAATTTCTGTTTTTATTGTGTGTTTGGGGCAGCTTGTGCGTTTCAGGATTAACAGCTTATCCTGAAACGCGGCCCTGCGGTTCGACCGCGTGGTTCGATCAGCGGTCTGCTTTTAGTGTGAAAATGGAACCGCGTTTTCGGATAAGCGGGCAAAACACATGATCCAAACAGTACCGCGCTAGTCAAGTGTAAATTTTTTTTTAAAAAAAGTGTTTTTACAAAATTGCTACGCGGTATGATGATTTTGACATATGGTAAAACCCTTTTAATTTTCACAGCTTAGCAAAAGTACCATAGGTGCTATATATATAAATACATAAAAATTGAATGGTATGTACGTAAATCTTCCCCGGACCACTAATATTTCCTATTACAAATATACCCACTTAGTACAAAAACTGCTTAATTTTTGTTGAGCTGTACCTTACCACAACACAAGACAAACCAAAAGCCAGCTATTCCATTTTTAAATCCAAAATAAAATATAAAAAAAATAAAGAAAATGTCCATCTCCCTCTTCCTTTAAATGAAGTGTCCGATCAGGACCACTAAAATACATCTTTTTATTTTTTTTTATTGTTAGAGCGAGACCCACTTTAATTTTTTGAGGGCCCCCAGCCCTATATAACACGAAGAGGGGGAAGCAATCAAGCAAATCAGAAAACATTGCATTCCAAAAATGGGATTCGTGTGCTTCCCCATGTCCGCCAACAAGCTCCCCGGAGCAATCCTCACCTTCCTCAAGCTCATCGACATCATCCACTACGGCCTGTTAGCTCTCCTCTACCGCCTCGGACTGAACCCGTCCTTCGAATCGGAGCTCAGCCCGTGGGCCGACGAAGCGCTTCTCTTCTCCGGCGAGCCGCCGCGGTCCGTTTCGGAGGATGCCGCATTGCTGAAGAACCGCTTGCCCGCGGTCGAGTACATGACCGTTGCGAGGAGGAACGGGCGCTGCGGCGGCCGCGGCGCGACGTGCGTGGTGTGCCTTCAGGAGCTGGAGGCGAGGGACAAGGTTCGGGTGTTGGGAAACTGTAGCCATGAGTTCCACGTGGCGTGTATTGATCGGTGGGTTGATATTGGGAGGTTTAGCTGTCCGCTGTGCAGGGCGGATCTGTTGCCGCCCGCCGGCCGGAGGACTGCCGGCGGAGGACTGCTGCGGTTTGTGGATGCGGTGAAGTTTGCGGTTTTTCGTTGCGGCTAATTAGCGGGCGGTTATTGTGTTTAGATTTCGTAAATATTGATGATATTTTTGTTATAATATCATCAATATTATTATTTTGGGAACCGTTAATATATACACACACATATATATATATAGAGAGTTTTTATACAATTTAAGAAATTTATGATCAATTTTTATGGGTTTGATGAGTTGATGGAAGAGAAAATTTGGAGTAATGTAAATAAAAATTTGAATAACCCAACCTTCAATTCTTCTAAAGAAAAAAATATTATATCAGAAGTCCTCATGTAATACTGCATCAGGACTTCAATCACAATGCGACACGTGTACAACTTAATTTTACTGAAGATAAAGAAGACATGACGAACAGAGTAAATAATATGCATTCAACATTATTTTATATGCGCATCTAATCAGAGGACCTGTGTATGTTATGATCTGTTCAGGCCCTCCAATAATAATAATAATAATAATAAGGAAGTCTTGATTAATATTATATCAAGGACTAAAAACAAAATAGAGACTTAATAAAGATTGTTATCATGAGTATTAATATGCCACATGGCCATGATTTGGTATGTGTTGGCAGAGCTCATGTGGTTCAGATAGATAATGACAAACGAATATGTACCCAAATATTCATAGTATTTTTTTAATTGAGTCTACTGCAACTTACTGAAGGTAAAAATTTTTATGTACACAATGTAGTAGAAGGAAAAATCATGAGTTTGGCTTATCAAAATTATTTTAGTATTTAGGATAAAAGTTTCAATGGTACATTTTCCTTAATTATTAAAGAAGATATTATTATATGATAAGGTGGCATATTGTCACGGACAAATAGTCCCACATTGGCTAGGTGTAGGGCCGAAAAATAGTATTTAAGTTCTGGGCTGTCCACCACCCATAAGGGCTCTTTTGGGATGTGACAAGTGGTATCAGAGCAGATTACTGTCTGTCAGGTGTGTGGACTCTCCATAGTCCAGTGGGACCCTCGGTGGCCCTCGTCACGTGATTGGGTGGAGGAGAATGTCACAGACAAATAGTCTCACATTGGCTAGGTGTAGAGCTGAAAAACAATTTTTAATTCCTGGGCTGCTCACCACCCATAAGGGCTATTTTGAGAGGTGACAATATGTTGGCTTTGGTGTTGATGTTTATGATGAACATATGAGTCGTTCCATGATGAATCATGAGGTATGGTGGATATTGTTGGCGGTGGGTGCCATTGATGATTGATAGATAGTCGTGAGGACGATCGATATTTTCAAGCATCGACATTGATCCGACAGTGATCCACATAAGATATCGAGTGTTGGATGATTGAGATCTAAAGCTTACTAGGTATCAGAACTCTTTGAAATTCTTCTTAAATGTGTAGACATTTATTTCTTAAAATTTTGTGAAGGGGGATCCTCGTCATGTTTTGAGGAAATTATGAAATGAGAACGATTTTGAAGTTATAAGTTCAAAAAGTGGCATCAAGAACTATGCTTAACCCAATAATTTTTTTATAACATATCAAAACTTAGTATTTCATAAAATATTACATTGTATGCTCTCTTATTAAATAGAAAATGGGTTAATGAATTAATAGATTATATGCTTAGTAAAAAATGTTTGATAATATATTTTTAAATGTGAATATTGTATTAATAAAAATTCTTAGGAAAATATAAATATGCATTAAAATTTATTAAAAAAACATACATGAAAGTATTGTCATATATAAGTCTAATTATATTGTACTTCTCAATTTATGTTGGTTGGTTTTTCTTTCATCTAATGTGGGTTGGTGACTATGATTGGATTTTCTTTTACCTAACATAGTTTTGTGACTAATAATCTCGTGTACCTTATTTATAATTATGCATGCACCAATGTTTATTGGGTTCTCTAAGCATATTGATGCCCAAAATTATTCTGAGATAAATTGGTCAATCACGTAAGTATACACATTAATAAAATAATATTCGGATTATAAGTTCGGTATCAATTCCCAAAAAAATTGTCAAAATATTCTAATATGAACCTCGCATAAGTAAACTAAATAAAAAATACTCAAAATAAAATCAATATAAATTCAAAGAAACTTTCCAAAATAAATACAAAGAAAAAATATGCCCAAAACATAAGGTAATACTTGTGTTAATGTCCTTAGTCTGCGGTGAAATCAGACCTAAAAGACTTTCTTAGAGTTAAATTTCTATTTCAGAAATTCCAATCAATGGCACCTGATGGCCACCGATCGGGTTGAAGTCTGGACCGTGCACCACCCGGGTCGTTGTTGTTGTCATAGTAGAGTCGCCAATTTGTTTACTGTCGTATAGCCTCTCTCTCTCTCTCTCCAAATAACTTTCTCTCTAATTGTATAGATGATCTAAAGAGAAAAAAAAGTTGGAGGGCAAAGGTATACCATGAAGGGAACAAACAAAATAAATACGTGGGGAAGCTTTCGTTAGGTTAACTTCACGTAGACAACTCCAAAGTGTAAGTCAGAGGTAAGATCGACTTAAAAAATTTCAAAGGCATGCTTGCGAAGAAGACCTGACGAAAGCAAACCTATGACCATAGATTCAGGTTATTGTACCTGTTTTGGGGTTCGCTTCTTCATATAAGGGTATGCCTCTATAATTAATTACATCTTAAGCAATTGAGGGTTGCTAAAGAAAACTCTCGATAAATGTTGTAGCTCATCTTCAAAAAATTAAAATGTCATTGTTTTCAAGGAAGGAGTTTCAAAGTCCTATCCTAAGGGTAGCGGATGCTTGCAGATTGAAAAGAGTCCTATCAAGATCTCAAACTATCCTATAGTTGTTTTCAATGATGAGATTCGTCATTCGCTTCATTTATTAAATGCACATCCTTGCAAAACAGAGTTAACACACCCTAATAACATGTAAAGTAAATCTGGGGTGGCATCTGTCTTTTGTCTTCGACAGCTCTGCAAAATCGAGTTAGCA